AGCAGCGTCCTCTGATTAACCTCTTTCGAACTGCAATCCTACCTTCCACGTGTTGAAACTCTGGTAACCTCTTCCTTTATAAAGAAGGTCCATCATATCTATATTGTAACTTTCATGAGTTCACACTTCAAACCGTCGAAATAAGCCGTCGTCCGAACTTCAACAGAGACCGTGGCTGAGCATTACCACCTGCCTGGAAGCCGAGTCTGAAATCTGCGTCAGACAACTATGTTGCGGGTCTAGAGTGCGACACAGTCAACCCAGGATTCGAATTCGAACCCAACACAACATTTTATTTCATTTTCTTTATCGATCACTTTGACTGGATTTTAGTGTTACATTGTTCTCGCACAAACCAAAAAGTAACCTATGAAGTTTCTTGCTCGTTCTTCTCCATAGGAATCTACACCTTGGAATGAGCAAATAGTTTCACTTTATTTTTTTTATTTTTTTTTTGTTGACGTTCAAAGTGGTCTTCCTGGTGTAATTGAAATAAATGATTTTGAATTGACTTTAAAAAAAAAAAAACACCTATGCAGCTGCCAGCGAACGAGTCTAACGTGCCAACAGTGTCGCGCTGAGCCCGCACCGCAGACCCGAGTAGCCAGTATCAGTGCGACAGTCGCCGCGTCTCGGGTTGCGGGATGCTGCTCATGAATATGATCCTCTAGCATGGCTTGAAACTAGTCGAGTTCCTCGCCAAATAATTGGGATGACGACAGGGTATGAAAATTAAAAATCTAATTAGTCCGTAAGTTAGGTATTTAAAAAATATTAGACACGTATTTTTTTATTTTGTCGTATAATAAAACAATACTTAGATAAAACGAATCAAAGTTTAGGAGTGGGGGCTAAAACGTCATTTCCACGTATAAAATGTACATAGAAGTGACGTCACACGACATTTCAAATCAATATATCGTGGGAAGTATTCGTTTCTGTAAGAAAATAAAAAATACGTGTGTAATGATTTAAAATAATCTACCAGACGGACATTAAAATGAAAATATGTCGTCTACGCTATTACGTGAGTAGGCCGAAAAACATAATAATTAAGGTCCATCACAGTTGAACATCTGTGGTGAACTCTAATGAGCTATTAAAGTGGATCGGTCAGCAAACAGCACTTATAATGATACATACATACACTCCATTTAAATGAAAATTACTCTATAATATCGCTTAGAGTAACTCAACACTCTTTTAGAAATAATTGTAAGGTATTTAACACCAAGTAAGATTGAATGATCGATAAAGTAATCAGTGATTAGACACACGCAATAATGGTTACTGATATGTGAAATGTCGGTCGTTGTTGACTTGAAATTGATGAAGTATTTTTCATGATCCTTGGTGTTTGCAGTTCACGTATTGGATAGTAGAATTACTATTACAATATTGGAAAATTTAACACAATAATCATTTTCGTTTTTGAACAGAAAATATGGACAGACACTTTAAATACTTGTACAAAACATTTTGAAAATAAAAACAGTGTGGAGTGAGTTGCTTATGGGTCGACGTGCTCCATCGTAGGCCACATCATCATTTACCACCAGGCGAGATAGTGGTCAAACGTCAGTCCCATCCCATATAAAAACCCACCGAAAATGCCTCATATGCTCTTAAAACGAAACTAGCGCCACGAGCTTCCAAATTCTTATTTTTATTTTTAACTAACAACATATTGCCTCTTTACCCTTTATCCACTCAACAAAAATTCTTGAAATTTCGTATACACGTCAGAACTCTAGTGAAGAACATAGGCTAAATTCCCGCGAGCATAATTCGCCGGTAAAAGATAGTAATTTATAAAAAAAATACTAACTTTCACCACACATCGTATATTATTGTAGGAACTGCAAATCTACGTTATAGTTATTTAGCTAGATAGTATGGAGCACGCATATTTACGCAACCATTCATTGGTTTAATGTTCGCAACCGTGGCTGGCCGATTTCTACTGCAGTTGCTTTGAAAAATGTATTTTATTAACTGTTGCCACATTTTATAAGTCCTTGATATGGAATTGGTGAGTGTTAGTAAGATATTGGATCAGTTAGGTGGTCTAATGTCCGTAAAGTGACATGTATCTGGTAGTTGGGTGGAAAAAGATGAAGCTAAGCTGTGTGCTATTGGAGAGACTCACGCCCAGAAGTAGACTGAAACAGGCTGGTGATGATATCACCAGATTTAGAATCAGGTTTATATTTCACAATTGAGACCGCTCGCATAAACACGTCATTGATTTTCTGAAAGTCGTGAGCCTCACATTCACAAGTTAAAGTGTTTATGGTATTCATACAGTGAATTGCTGTGATTGTGTGATATTGTACCAATGGCACTTGAAATTTCAAAATCTATAATACCATTTTCAAGCCTTTAAGCAAGCCCTAAAACTCAAACTAAGCAGATTTGGGACTTGGTTAACGAGAATTTACAAAACCGAGTGAACCAAATAACCCGCCCAGAAAAATTGCACATAACGCATTTATAAATGTGTATACAATCACAAAAATCAACGTAGTAGACATTAATGGCATTCTAAAATTAAACCAAGTGAAAGAGATCGCACATGAGCCGGCGATCAGTCGATTACTCGATTAGCAATTGATATTTTTTCGAGACGAATCGATTTCAATCTCTCCGTGAACAATGAACGTGGACGCGTCCAAATATAGTAGAAACTGCAAATAGAAGATCTGCTGGAACTGTGTTTGGCGAAATGCCAGAACAACACATGGAGTATAAAATGGTTGCTATGGTGGATAGAGAACAAAGGCCAAAAAACTAATAAAGTTAGAAGACATTTTAAACCTAGGCATGTCAAGCTACCAAAAATCCAAACTATAATCCACATTTGCGCAGTGATGTTAACAAAGAGGTATTCTTTCACATTTTACAGCGTCCAAGGAAGACGGAGGATATAAAGTTTTTTTTTATGGCATAAGCCGGTAACCGAGCAGACGGATCACCTAATGGTAAGCAATCGGCGTCGCCCATGGACACCTGGAACACCAGAGGCGTTACGAGTGCGTCACCGGCTTTTTGGGGATTAGGAGTTTGAGGATCGTTGGGGATTCAGGGATTGGGAAGATTGGAGAAGGGGAAGGTAATTGGGCCTCCGGTAACCTCACTCACACGACGAAACACAACGCAAGCGTTGCTTCACGTCGGTTTTTTGTGAGGCCGTGGTATCACTCCGAAAGTATAAACTATATTCGCAATACATGTACTAATCCCATTGTAACATGAGGTAACGAAGACAACATTAATACTATTCCGTAACCGGGTAAAACCTAGAGTGCGTAACAGCACTACCAACCTCTTTGATGGTAATCGCTCTATACAAAACAAAGATAATAATTAAAATAAACAGCTTCATTACCATTTAACAGTCTGTATTCAACTACTAGATTGTAAACCCAGACCCGGATCCACAGATTGTTGTTTCGGATCTGGGTGTCATGTGTATGTGAACTTGTATGTTTGTAAAGGCACCCACGACACAGGATAAAATCCTAGAGTGAGGCAATGTTTAAAAAAAGACCTCCTTCACGTAGCAGAGTTGAATTTCGCAGTTTTACATTCGAAATAATAACCAATCTGAACCTAAAATCTGTGATTTAGGGTTGATTTTTGTTTATCTTTAGTTGAATTGAGTTTTTTTTTCAAAAACAGATCGATCATAGATTTTAGAATAAGGTCGGTTATTCATTTTGGCTGCAAAATGTTTACAAGAGAGCGCTGCGATCTGAGGGCCAAACACGAATAACTATCGCATTCGTATCGTAACAGTATCGAGCGAGTTAAGCGTTCTGATTGGTTGGTTCACTTGAGCCGGCCAATCAGAACGTTTAACTCGCTCGATACTGTTACGATACGAATGCGATAGTTATTCGTGCTTGGCACTCTGGTCTCTGTTAAAATGTCTTCCTCAGTCGGCTCTTACGACACTGACAAGAAGAGAGAGGTGGCGACAAATGTGTTCTACTCTGCTTAATCGTTTAACACTCTCTCTCGGACTCTGGTGCATTCAAACCTTTGACAATTGAAATCTCTCGGTAAATCGAAGTTATTACGGGGTCCCAAAAAATCTCTTTACATTTCGAACTAAATCAATACATTATTATACACTTGGTAATTCGAACCAAAAGTCATTGTTACGTTACCAAATGACAATACCAGCGTCAAACTCTCTATAGTTCGAAGTTGCAGAGAGAAAGGAATAGAAAGATCTCAGAATCCGCAGAGGTAAGTACCCAAATTTTGTGGCATGTTGAAATTTCGGACCATTTGATATTTCGAACATTCGTTTCGAACTAACGAGAGTCGACTGTACTTCATATTATTCAATCATATCAAATAATAAAATAAAAATATTATTATCAAAGTCCCATTACTTAAGAACGTTACTACGCATATCATTGAGGGCTGATTCACATCTACTGAATGCTTTAAGAGTATAAGTGTGCCTATTGAACTGGACAAGACGGGGCGATTAATGGACAGATGCGGGCATACGACGGGAATAAACATTCTGGATCAATCCCGACCATTGTGTAGAGTGTGGGACTGTTTAACTGTCCTTTATATGCTTGGGAACTGAGTATGATACGCCTTTAAAGGGATATAATACTCCTTTGGTTCTGAATGATTAGAGAAGAGAGATTTTGATTGTGCTAAGAGACTAAGACTTGTAAAGAAGAAAGACTTCAGCCACTAAGTCAAAATTCATTGAATCGTTTCAACTCCTTAGGTGTCACTGTGTCATTATTACGCACACACTTATTAGGTATGACAAGTAAATACATATTTGTATATTACGGGTGAAAATAGTCTTACATTACTTGATGACTCGTTTACTATATAATTAACTACGACATTCTAAGCATTGACACTTTCTACTGAGATGAGCATAATTTTTGCACCACCTATAAAATATAAACTGAAAGAAAAAAAAACAATCAACAATTTCTACGTTTCTAGCGTAAACTGACCTGTCGTTTGAACACTTCGCGCTGCACTTGTGGCTCTGAGAAGTCCTTGCTGTAGTTGAGCCCGCACTCGCCGACCGCCACGCATTCCGGCGCAGCTGCAATCTCTTGTAGATCGCCCCACATATCTTCCTCAATCATAGACTTTGCATCATGGGGGTGGACACCTGTAGCAATTATGTTTTATTTAGTACTGGCGACCCGCCCCGGCTTCGCACGGGTGCAATATGCATGTATACATATAAACTTTCCTTAAGAATATAAAAAGCATACATAGGGACAGACAGACGGCGGATAGCGCCTTTGTTTTATACTATGTAGTGAAGATAAAAAGTAATTGCTAACGTCAAGCCTTTAATTTCGGAAGGTTATGTAAAGGTATAATAAGATGTAATACTAACTTTTTCACCTGTTATATTATTATAGGTTTCATAAACATGAAATAGTTCTACAAAGGCCTACTGTCATATACCGGTAAAAACTTTAAACTCTGTGCTACTATTCGAAAGTTTTAGAAAAACGGAAACATTATCTATAGCGCATCTTACGACCCAGGAATAGAGCCTTTTTTTGAGGGGGGAAAATCATCCAATGTCTTCTCCCGCCCAGGTGAGGCGGGAGGGAGTGTCAGACTCTTACTGACTAAAAACCACCCCGTTCCTACTCCTGCACTTCGAGCCGGAGCCCCGGTAACCCGTTAAGTCTTCCGCGGCTCCGTATCGGCAACCCAGGAATAGAGCCTGAGTTACTCGGCAATTGCGGTTGCTGCCACTTGATCAACAAAACAGTTAACTATATGTAACTGTAACAACTGTATGTAAAATTTTATTCATAATAAGCCTTGAAAAATAGTCTATTAGTTATTTAGTTTAAGTAAATGTCCTGAAAATTATTAAAATAATATTATAATCTACAACTACAAACCGGTACTATCTTCACCTAAACAAAGTCATTAAAATATGCTCATGAATCCACAACAAGGAGAGAGTTACAAAATTATAATTACTGCATGTAAAAGTAAGATAATTAACCTCTTTACGTTAATTTTTAATTAAATATTTCAATTATTTAATCTGTGCGCTGCAGTAAGGAAATACATACAAACTTGTTTGTTTTAAACTACATGGTTTTCTAGAAAACCAGTGAACTCAATTTGTATGGAATTATACTCGGTTTAAACTGTCAAATACCAAGCGGTCACCGGTGACCGCAACCTATTGTTCTATAATTGTGTCTGCAAAACCGGTACTCGACGAGTTAAAAAGTTGTTTTATTGAAATAAGGAACTGTTAAATTATGCTGTTTTTCTACTTCGTTGGCCAAGTGGTTGCTAAAGCGACGGCCGGGATTTGAAGCCTGAGAACTATAATCTAAAATAGTATAATCTGAAAATGACAACTTATCGTTTTTTTTTGGGACAAGCTCGCCACAACCTCACAAAACCGCTGCAACTCCTGTAAGCCAGGATCTACAGTAGATACAACGATGAAAACACCGGGACACTGAAGTCCAGCGCATCTCAGGAACATGAATAACTGTCTTGGTTCCCGCAACGAAATAAATCAGATATTATAGGAGGAGAAGAAGAAAAACGATACTTTCCACTTCCGTCGGTGAATAGGGTAGATGCCTAATTTTTATTTTAATGTCCGTCTGGTATATTATTTTAAATCATTAGACACGTATTTTTTATTTTCTTACAGAAACGAAAACTTTCGACGATATATTGATTTGAAATGTCGCTTGACGTCACTTCTATGTACATTTTAATTATGTAGAAACGACGTTTCAGCTCCGCTCCTAAACTTTGATTCGTTTTATCTAAGTATTGTTTTATTATACGACAAAATAAAAAAATACGTGTCTAATATTTTTTCATTACCTAACTTACGGACTAATTAGATTTTTAATTTTCATACCCTGTCATCATCCCAATTACTGCAGGAAACAGAATGAATTAATCGTCTATATAGATAACATAGTCTTTCGTTGTTGCCTGTTTTTCCATCCTTTCATTCCAAGCCTAGCGATGCTTCATCTTTTTATCTTCATCCCAAGTAATTTAGAGCTGACACAATATATTTCCCTTCCTTCCATCAGATTGTCTGTCCTATTACAAAGTCCGTGTAACCAAAATGCACGACTGCTTACAGATATAAATTATAATAATGATAATGTAAATTCAATGATAACGTAATTATTATCACTGTAAAGTAAACGACTGATAAACTAATTGATTGTTTAATTCAATTCAAATATAGGCTTGTAGGATTCAGATTATAAGCCGGAACAACATTATATTATACTCCTTGGTATTGTCCCAATGGCGTGATAGTTATGCACGCTACACACCATACGATTTAACTGAACAGGCGAACTGTGTAGTTAAATCATGAGGTGTGCAGAGCTAACCAGCCATCCGAAAACCAGCGTTGGGCTGGAACGCTCCACTATATGCTGAGGTGGAGGCCCTTTTGGCATAGGCACGGGCACTTTAATATTATTATTATTTCTTTATTTTATATTTCTGTATGTCTCTACCATTGACGGGAACACAGGGTCCCGGTCACTTGGGAGGCGTACGAAGGGCCGAAGCCAACTGCGCAGAGGCCCTTTAGAGTTTAGACAACTTTAATATAAATTGTAATGGACACACCAAATTATTATTGTTTATTGTTCTTTTCTTTACTCTTTTAAGTTGTTTTATTAATACTTTGTGTAACTATCTTGTAATTTTATTTATATTTTTTATAATAATCTTTGTTTTTGTGTGTGCCTACTTGCTAAATAAATGATTTTTCTTTCAAAACAATTGAACTGTACAGTTTTAACTAAATGTGTGTAGGGTGTATGGACTTACGAATTAAATGTACAGTTTAGCTGTACTGCACAGTTAAATCGTAGAATGTGTAGCCGATATATGATACATAAATGCTACATCATTTAATCTCCAAAGGAATAGGAGGGATGACATAATAATATCTATTGTTCACTAGTTATGAGTCCCATAAGATGATATGGTGATTTCTTCAAACTACTGAGACAAATTTTCGAAAGAACAAAACTCCATGCTCAGCAGTGGCACTCGAGATCACCAACCATGCAGTCAGCACAATCAAGAAGGCAGTCTTTATAATAACTATCGTGAGACATACTAAATTAACTAAAATCATGGGTTACTCGCACAGCTCGGTGAGCTGCGTATACTACGTTTACTGATACTGCGCGACGTCGGTCGCCGCGAACGCGCACGCTACTCATGAGGAAGAACCCCTCTGTGGTTCGAAACTAGTAGAGCTTTTCTCTGTATATTCACGTGAGTAAGCCGCGATTTTAGTTAATTAAGAAGGCAGTCAATGAGATAAAAGGATGTTGTATATATGAGAGGACTATTTACAAAATACTTGAGCAATATGTATGGAATGTGTCAATAAGTATCTGTACTTAGGTGATATGATAAGCCACTATTTATTATCTAGAGACTGTGGTCCACATGTTTCACAATCCGGATAGGTATGACTTGTGTGAGTATTGTATCTTATCGAAGGATCATTCTTGTATTATCTGAAGATGTAGAATGCATGGCATGTCTATTTTATAAATAACAATACTATGACAAATTGTAATTCCTGTACGAGAAGGCAAATAAGCTTTTTACTATTCGTCAGTTGTTAATGTGTATTAGGGTCGATTGTTTTGCGAATTTCTGTCCAATAAGTTCATGAATTCAGGTATTTAGACAAGAAATCTGGTATCAGAAAAGAAAAGAAGTGTTGGAGAGCCATGCTTCGGCACGAATAGGCCGGCTCGACCGAAGATATACCACGGCCTAACAGAAAACCGACGTGAAACAACGCTTGCGTTGTGTTTAGTCGCGTGCAGGGGCGTAGCTAGCGCCGTATCTGCCGTATCAATTATACGGGGCCCCCGGACTAAGAGGGCCCCCAACGGACGTAAGCCAAACTTAAAAACTTCTTAGTAATAAAAGTCAAAGTAAACAATATTTTTCTTCTAATAATTATCGTGTGATATACTAAATTGACTAAAAATTGCGGGTTACACACACTGACTCACACGATGCGCGACATCGCCGCGACGGCGCACGCTGCTCATGAAGAAGAACTGCTATGGCTGTAGAACTTTTCTCAGTATATTCGTGTGAGTAATCCGCGATTTTTAGTTAATCGTTATCTCGCGTAAAGTATGCGTTCGAAAGTTGAATGAAACTTATAAACGACTAAAGTAGGTAATCATAGTCCGATTTTTTGGGAGTTGCCTGGAAAGTTGTCTATTTTCACACAAATTGTATTTTCACACTATTTTATGCATAACTTTTTTAAAAATATTGATTTTCGGCTTACTTACGTAATAATTATTTAACACGACTAGTTTTGCTGAGCACTGTCGCGCTACCCAATGGCAGCGTGACAGTCGCAGCATCGCGGGTCGTGCAATGCTGCTCAGGAATATAAGCCTCTAGCATGGCTTGAAACTAGTCGAGTTCTGAGTCAAATAATTACGTGAGTAAGCCGAAAATCAAAATAATTCATTTAGTGTGTCTCACGAAAGTTATAATATATATTTTTTCATCTTTACTCTTTATAAGGGCCCCCAAATAAATATTTATACGGGGCCCCGCCAAGGCACGCTATGCCACTGGTCGCGTGATTGAGGATACCGAAGGCCTCCCCAATCTCCTCAATCCCTGAATCCCAAACGATTCTAGAATTCCTAATCCCCAAAAGGCCTGCTACGCACTCGTAACGCCTCTGGTGTTCCGGGTGTCCATGGGCAACTCCGGTTGCTTACCATAATGAACCGCATGCTCGTATACCGGGCTATTCCATAAAAAAAATCAAAACATCGACCTTTATGGTCGCAAAAAGGGTTGGGCATGCATAGATTTCGCAATATTATTACTGCAATATGAAAGTCAAAGTTTATATGTGTTCACGTGGTAGCGGAAAAGAGGCAGTAATTAATAAAATAGACTTACCAGCCGTAGAGTATATTGTGCTGGGATAGAGACGAGTCAGTCTTAAGGCTTCCTTACTGTTCCGCACTGAGGTGCCTGTTACCATGATCTTCTGGACACCTGCACAATATAGGTAATGCTTTACTAAAAACTTTGATAAATATGAAATTAACCTTAATACTCTGTAGTAATAAAGTCGAAAATGAATTGATGAACTAGCAACAATATACTTTGCTCATATAATCCCATAAGGAAAACTTGTTTGCATCTTGTATACTATTACAGCAAAATATAACGCTAAAAGCACAAGATAAACCTGTAGGCTTTTGGTGGTAGCTACTGAGATATCATTATGATGAAAACCTTGTAATTTTTTGATCAATTCAAGTATAGACTTTTCGAGCCAAAGACTTTTTGACTAGACTAGATCAAAAGAATTCTTACATTAGTTACGTATTATTTTACACTAGCGACCCGCCCCGGCTTCGCATGGGTGCAATATGCATGTATTATACATAAACCTTCCTTAAGAATCACTCTATTTATTAAAAAACCGCATCAAAATCCGTTGCGTAGTTTTAAAGATCTAAGCATACATAGGGACAGACAGACGGCGCATAGCGATATTGTTTTATACTATGTAGTGATTACGATGTGTAATCAACAAAATATACTTAACTATACATAAAAGTTATTGAACCAAAATCTTTCAAATCTAGACTAGTTCTAAGCAGCAGTTTCATAATGTATTATTATAATCTTATACTATTATATAAAGCGTTCGTTTTTTTGTTTGAACGCGCTAATCTCCGTAACTACAAGTCTGATTTGAATAATTCTTTTTGGGTTGGATAGCGCATTTATCGAGGATGGCTATAGGCTATAAAACATCACGCTACGACCAATAGGAGCTGAGCAGAGCATGTGAAACCGCGCGAAAGTAGCTAGTACATTACAAAATTACAACACTTGTTTACTAAACAAACATGCAGCAGCATAAACAAACAGTATTATCATAATAAAATGTAATTTAAATCAGTAAACAATCAAATATTTGTATAGCTTTAGAACTTTTAACTACACTGCATTTCTATTTATATAGTTGAATGTAATATCATAAATACGTTCATCACATAATTCATAAAACATTTCAAATATTTCACTACAAAACCGATCAGATACTATTGAAAGAGATTAGAATTAAATTGAATGAAAAACAGATATAACAAATCCAATAAAAGTTTGTGTGAAATATGACAGCATAATATCATTTGTCACAGCTGTGTAATAAAATAAATAATATAGAAATAATAATTTGATATAATGGATGAAAAGTGGGGTTCCACTTTAGACATCCCAACCGCTGACTATGATGTTATTTATATTTTACTAGCGACCCGCCCTGGCTTCGCACGGGTGCAATAAATATGCATGTACTATACATATAAACCTTCCTTAAGAATCACTCTATCTATTAAAAAAACCGCATCAAAATCCGTTGCGTAGTTTTAAAGATTTAAGCATACATAGGGACAGACAGACGGTGGACAGCGACTTTGTTTCATAATATCCAGTTGAAAATCATCCCCTAAATTTGTTCATACAACAGTAGTCTCTAAACATTGGAAATAAGGTCTATAATGTAGTTAGTGGAGGTTGGTCGCCGGTAACCCTTTGGGGATATATGGGATATGTAGTGAATCTTGTGCTTAAACCAATTAAACAATAGGTTTTTCAGAGACAATGACACAGATACAAACAGAAATTATTTGTAAACATGGATTATTCATAGGTACTGATTACTCATTAGTGTTATTGTTTTTTTTTCTCTAATCTAATTGCATTGAAATGTGATCATCGTCATTATCAGCCTATGTCACACTATTTGTGAAATAAAGTTGCTGTACATGAAATGTTATGAAATTGCAATTCCAACAAATTAAAAAAAAAATTCAAAATCATTTATTTCAATTGAACTATAATTTGGTACTTTTGAAACAACAACAAATATAAAATAAATAATCGTTTGTCAGTCTGTTTGTCAGTGAAGCTAGGTGTTCATTCCAAAATGTAGGTTTGAGTGAAGAAGAACGAGTAAGAAACGTCATTCAATATCCTAAAAAAAAACTAGCTACTTCCGAGCGGTTTCACACGCTTTGCTCAAATCCTATTGGTCGTAGCATGACGTTTTATAGCCTATAGCCTTCCTCGATAAATGCGCTAACTAGCACAAAAAGTATTATTCAAATCAGAGGTGTAGTTCCGAAGATTAGCATGTTCAAACAAACAAACAAAAAAACAAACTCTTCAGCTTTATAATATTAGTATAGATATGTTTTATAATTTCTCATCTCACACAGAAAAAGGACTACCTATGATTTTTTTTTTTAAACTATAATAATAGTTTCAATAAAGTTAGCCATCTTATTTATATTTGTCTGGATTTGTACTGTAACTAAATAAGGGATTTGAAAAGTATAGATGATTTTTTTTTTAAATAAAGATTGCCCCATTAAATATTGATGTTTAGACAAATTTATTGTAAAGAATAATGTGTATTAGAGAATTCTGAGACTTCTTGTAGGTGTAGTAGAACAATAAAACTATTGAACCAGAATGAAAAGGATGCAACAGTACGCTACTCAAGTATTAGTCATCGTTTATATTTAAAAACCACATTCCTAGTGGGATTTCCTTTGCAAATAATATACTTGATGTAAACAATATTTATTACTAGAAACTCCAAAGTAATTATTACGACTTTCATCATTGAAATAAAATTGCTGGATCATATTTCATTTCAGACATAAAAATACATGAAATTCCGAACAATAAAAAAAATGTAGCATGACAATAACCCAGTAACTGGCGAGGTATTCAATGTGCAATCAGTCTAAATGAATAAATTACTTCAAACGTGAGTGTCGGCATTGTAACACCAAATCATTTTTATCACGCAACCACACATATGTTTTTTTTTACATCTTTTTTAAACCAACCTGCATCTTTTGCCCTTTGCACGACAGAATCGAGATCACGGCCGTATTTCTTGTTCGTCAAGTTCGCGCCAATGTCGATTACAATAAGATTCTCGTAACATCCCTTCAGTTCTTCAGATATTTGGGTTTCTTCAGACGTCATCCTCGGTTTTGTATGAAGCTTATTATACGGTGTTTATCTAAAATTTAACGTGGATATCACTATTTTTTCTGGATGTTTTATTTTCAAACGTGACTTCTAGATGTACTTACAAATTGTATCAAACACTCCAGCTAAATAAGCTTCTAATAATTTAATGACTAGTCGAACGGTCCACCCTCTTCACTGAGCTGCCACCATGTTTTTGAAGCACGTTTTTATTGACACGACAGCGAGCCACTTCAAAATAGTTCTGTCAAGTGTTGTATTCACTGCGCTTTTATGATTGGCTGTTTAGTACTAACCGTGTTTCTATACGTTGGTTATCGAATGATGTAAAATTGTGATAAAAACCCACTACACGTTTCGTTTTCTTTATCTCGGAAATTAGTTAATATTAGGTGAAAAATAATATTTAACGACAAACTAATACGTAACCAAAGTAATAAATATTAACAGACTTTCATAATGATTCCTCATTCAAATAAATAAAATATTACTCCTCTTGTTACTCCTTTGGAGACAACTAAACGTAGCGTTAACATTCGAAAACTGGAATATTTGGACAAGACAACAAACCACTTCAACACGCAAAAATAGTGATAATATGTTATAAAACAATATTGAATCTTTTTATTGTTTATTCGATGATAGCTGTTATTTATTTTATAATAAATAAAAACAACCACAATAATCAAGTCATACATTTTAACTTAATACTCTGAACGTTCTCGGTAAATAAACGTCAATCAGCTGTGAGACTGACAAACAGAATAAACTGTCATTGCTATTTTATGCGACAAAAATAAAAATACTTTGTTAATAAACAGTTCTTATACAATAATAACCCTCTAAAAGAAGTAGACTAACTAACATCAATCTAGAAAAAGCCTACAATTGGTGCGTAACCAAACAAAACGTAATTATATTGGAAAAGAATTTAAATTTGACAAAATGAATGTGGGAGTTTTCTTGAAAAAGAACTTGGTAGCCCTGATCATGGTGCCTATGATTGTTGGGGCTCACTACGGGTGGTATAAACTACAACATGTGGAATCGTTGGTCACTGCCGAGGAGAGGAACAAGCTGCCGATTACAAAAGTAAATAATTGTTTAAATTAACCTTAGTTCTTACATTTTTGTCATAATTGCTAAATATTTAAGGTTTAACTCGTCGAGTACCGGTTTTGTAGACACAATTATAGAACAATAGGTTGCGGTCACCGGTGACCGCTTGGTGTTTGACAGTTTAAGTTCCCATTTATTTACAGCCCCAATGGTTTATGATCACTATTCCAATAGGCCGACGATTTGCCCCTATCTCGCCTGGTGGTAAGCAATTCTGCAGCCTATGATGAATTCAAGATTTTAGTTCATTTTTTACTTAAAACAAGCATGACTGCCAAATAAAAGGATTCAAAATTCGTCAGTAGATAGTTATTCAGCACTGAAAACCTATTGCACCAACTAAATAGTGAACTACACAGTTTAATGATAATGCTATGATAAACATTCATAAGTAATTAAACATAACTGCCTCATTGGCCGAGTGGTCGCAAGTGCGACATCTGGGCAAGGGGTCTTGGGTTGGATTCCCGAGTCAGAACTAAGTTTTTCAAAAAATTCACAGTAGTAGCATGGACACTTGAATTGGGCCTGGTATATGGCAATAGGCTCACCCTCTATTACATGCGACTCATAACATAAATAGTAAAAAGTGGGTGTTACATTGTACAGTAGCATAATGTACCTCGGCCTACCCCTTCGGAGGTAAAAGGTGTGGTGTTATGTTATGTTCTAAATAATCTAACTATCTAACACTGTTAACTAATTACTTTATCTCTGTTTCAGGCACTAAAAAACCTCAGCATATCAGAGTAACGGACCCACTCATAACTTTGTAAATATGGAACTTTAAATTTAAGAAAATTATAACAGTGTTAAATTTAAGGTATTTAACATAAAAGTTAATGATACTAGTTTAAAATGATACTTTTAGAATAAAATGTAAATTATATTTTTTTCATGTTTTATTTATTTTTTGTAATATGTCAAAACTACAAGTAATATACCTAATCTAAATTAAAAGTAGGTGATAATATGATATTTGTATGTAAATGCAGTCCCAATAATACTTACTATTCTCATGCCCATATACTGAAAGGCTACTTCATTTTATTTTAAGTTTAGCTTAAAATTGTGTAAAGAACTAGCTTCTGCCCGCGACTTCGTACGCGTAATCCCGTTTCTCATATTTCCGTAGGATTTTTAGGACTTTCTGTCATAAGATCCTTCTCCTGACAATAACAAACACAACAAAAAAAAATCAGCCAAATCGGTCTAGCCATTCTCAAGTTATGGCGTGACAATGAGAAACGGGTTTCATTTTTATTTTTTTAAAGAATTTGTAGTGACAGAACTATACTTATGCTCGACTTAAGAATTGAGGAGGAATTCAGTATTCGGGCTTCAGAATTATAACTTTCTAGTTTCCACACTATCAGGCAATTACAGAGTACCTACATTATCATCTCCAACTCCAAAAAGGAACATCTACCTAAATCACCTAATTTAAACTTTAATTTAAACAAGCCGTTCTTGTATATATATATAATGAACAATTTCTATAACGGCTCCAACGATTTTCTTCCAATTCTGTCGACAAATCAATCTAGCTAGGTTGGATTCAATTTCAGAAAAATTAAATGTTGTTTACCAAGAAAATAAAACATCTAGCAAAGCTCGGTCATCAAGATACTTCTTTTTTTAAATGACAACAGTCATGGGCGTAGTTAGCAGTACTCTTTCTGCGAAGCAGTCATTCTAGATAAGGAGAAAGTGAGGCCCGTCAAGAAACGAACCTCTTCACGCCCCAGTAGCCGTCACGGGAGGTACTCGGGGCGTAGGAAAATACGAGATCTGCGGCCACCGTAAGTGTGGGTCTACGGACGGCTAACAAGGGCAGCGCGTTGTTAGGTACCTGTCGGGTCTGAGCTTGGATGGTGCGACTGCTCCACTCTGCCCCACCGTGGCTGTGCCTATGACGACAGTAATATTCCATTTTATTAGATTCCATTCCATAAACATGTAGGTACTATTTCCATTTGAAAAAAAAACACATTGTTTTACAGCTAGTTGACCAGCGAACAATTGAGTCTCTAACTAATTGCTACTGAAGTGCTAATGGATAGTAATGAATAAAACCCAGTTCTGAATATGAAGAACATTTAATCACAATGAGGGTAGGATGCGCGCGCGCGGCGCTAGTCAGATGGTGGGCAGGTGACTCCTGGAGTCCAGCTCTGTCTTCTTGTTCTTGTTCTGCTGGCCGCGGTCCGTCACTATTAGTTGGGGCAGCAGGGGTGATGACTGCACCTGGTGACACAGGGATGTAGAGGATAATAATTATTTTATAAAATACGTTTTAAAGTACCCGGTCCCCCTCTCTCTTGACGTCGGTAGTTAAGTTATATACCTAATTAACTAGATAGTGGCCAAACGTCGGCATAATCGGCCCTAAGTACCTAATTTTAAAATAAATTTTTAAATTACACACAACAAAGTACTGACTTAACTACGTAAACGTAGTAACTAAATTAGGCTACGTAGGTACTTACATTCTAATCGAAGACCAACAATTTAAGTTCTTAATTCATTATTCGATACTTTCTACATCAAATTCAACACTAACTATTGGGATGATGACAGGGTAGGAAAATTAAAAATCTAATTAGTCCGTAAGTTAGGTAATTAAAAAATATTAGACACGTATTTTTTTATTTTGTCGTATTATAAAACAATACTTAGATAAAACGAATCAAAGTTTAGAAATGGGGGCTAAAACGTCATTTCTACGTATAAAATGTAGGTACATAGAAGTGACGTCACGCGACATTTCAAATCAAAATATCGTCGAAAGTATTTGTTTCTGTCAGAAAATAAAAAATACGTGTGTAATGATTTAAAATAGTCTACCAGACGGACATTAAAATTAAAATTAGGCATCTATCCTATTCAAATGTACTCAAAAACAAGACGCTAAAAACGAAATCTATACCTACTCATAATATCATTGTCATACTTTTGTATCCAGTTTCTCCTACACCACAAAAGGTGTTCCTTTCTACGCAGCTATTTCTTTTTGCCTTTACCCTTCTTTGGGGATGGCGCGACGCTAATATCCACTGTGACTGGCTCAGGAAAAGTGTCTGGCATATGACTTCTCCGACCCAAATATCGATGCTGTTTATAGGCAAGCAATGAGATGAGGTCATTGAAAATAAGATTGGGTTTGGTCGAAGTAGTGTGTGTGTGTATAATACTGATATTCAGTCGAATCTATTCAAGACTGGTCTATGCTGCTGTTCTATCAACTAAGAACAAGTTTGGTGAATTAAATTGGAAAAGAATTATAATTATAGATACTATCTTTCTGTCAGTCAAGAAATGAAGTTAATTCCAAATGTAGACTAGACCGTTAGGCAAAATGTGTTAGAGATGGTTCTCTTGGAAAGACCTAAAAACCCTTTTTTTTTGTTACTTTTTTTAAAGAACTTTGCCACACCAGAATTTTCTCCTGTATCGTGGGTGCGTTTACAAACATACAACTTTACATAAGCATGACACCCAGCCACCGCGCCAACCCGCCAACCGAGCAGTCATTAGCCTATTTGGATTCACGCTATTATGAACCACAATTTACCCCATCTCTAGTTCTTCTCAAATAAATGTGGGGTCATACCTGCGCTCTTCTTGATTTTTCATACTCTTCATGGTCTGAATGTGGTACCGTGAAGAGGAAGTTCTCGAAGATGGGATGCCTCAGCAGTTGTTCACAGGTCCACCTCACCATTGGGTCTTTATCTAAGCATTTCTGAAAGGAAAAAGATCAAAATGGATGATACAAGTTAGTTAAGCGAACCTGAGCTACATACTGGACACTAACAAATACCAAACTCGCGTCGCCACAACGATAAAATTAGCAGTATGCGTTGCGGCATTGCGGCGCCGCAACGCAGCGCTCGTTCCAGCATAGCAGACTAATGTCTTCTTACTAACAAATAAGCAATAAGTTTTTTATGATAGTCCATGGCAGAGACACGTCTATCCACAAAAAAAAAATCACGACGTAACTGGTTACCCTACCGAACGACCACAAAACTCACTTTTTCACGATGCCGCAACGCCGCAACTCCGCAACGCAAACTGCCGACTTTAGCGTTGCGGCGACGCAACTCGGTTATCCGGTTATGTGTTTCAGCCCTTAATCATTCCACGAACTGCTAGATAGCACATATACAAACTTAAAGGCTTTACCTTATTCAATATCTTTAGTGATCAGGAACTACCTTCCTGCCTAGGTAACATTTGGTTTGAGATTTTACGTGTAACTCACATGCATAAAGTCTAGCACCAGCTCGTTGCAGGAGTACCGTTGAGGTATTTTCTTTTGTAGAGGCTCCACCGTGGTTGGCTCCGGCAGCGCCATACCCTGGTCACCGAAGACAGATTAATGAGAAACCTTACATGGGTTTCTTATAACATAACGTTGAGATTTTTGTTTTATAGAGAATACTTTTCATTCTATAGCAAATAAAAGTGGGCTGCACTACATCATTGTCCGCCACTCACTCAGAGCATGAGTATGAGTCCGATATGGCTTGAAACTAATCAAGCTTTTTTCGCAGAATAGGGTAGGTGCCTAATCTTTATTTTAATGTCCGTTTGGTAGATTATTTTAAATCATTACACACGTATTTTTTATTTTCTTACAAAAACGAATACTTTCGACGATATATTGATTTGAAATGTCGCGTGACGTCACTTCTATGTACATTTTATACGTAGATTGACGTTTTAGCCCCCACTCCTTTGATTCGTTTTATCTAAGTATTGTTTTATTATACGACAAAATAAAAAAATACGTGTCTAATATTTTTTCATTACCTAACTTATACACTAATTAGATTTTTAATTTTCATACCCTGTCATCATCCCAATTCACGTTATTAAGTTATTTAAATCAGTAAAATATAATATGAGGTTCTTTGTTTTTTCTTACCTGAAAAAAGGTGTTTTGTGAGAATATTGTCATATGCCTGGGCAGTAGATCCCCAAGGGTTTTTCGTATTAGATATAATTGGTCTAGGTCGCTTTTACCCGGCCATAAAGCTTCGCCTGACAGAAGTTCTGCGAAGACGCAACCTGTGAAATATTAGCGCCTAATTAAATTATTATAGTTTAAATGTATGTGAGAATAAACAGCAGGCGCTTGGACAACGAGAATACGCAATAAGCAGCACTAAATCTATGTATTGTTAGGTACAAAATGATGATGACTCGATTGATGGTGACATAATTAGTAGGTACTAGGTACTACCACCATTAAAAGTGTTTAAAATGATCAATAGAGCGCTACCAAACAATCTAGAATCATCGTACATTTTTGTAGGTATTATTACATTCACGGATCTCGTCGCAATAGCATGCCAGACCTGGGTTCTTACTCTTGAAACCAATCTTAATGTCAATGCAATTTCAATCCAATAAAATCTAAATAATTATTCAATGTCAACACTATACAACCCCTATTGTAGCTGTTAAAATAGCATTCAGAATACGGAATATAAAACCAAACTCAATACCATTTAGTTCATTAAATATCCACGCAATACGGATGCAATGGGCGCTAGTGTTGCATCTGGAGAGTACGAAATTTCACAATACCAATATCGATCGATCGGCATTAGATTCAAGAGTAAGCCTCCTGACCTAGTTATATTTGAACCTAAGATGGAAAACCCTCCTTGAGTTTTCTCAACTAGAGTAAACAAAGGGCTCTACCAGCATCCAGCACCTACATAACGACATACCTATAGCCCAGACGTCGACCGGTGTGCTGTACATGGTGTCTCCGACAAGTAGCTCAGGCGCGCGGTACCACCGCGTCGCCACGTAGTCTGTGTAGCTCTCTCCAGGACCTGGACATGTTTAACGGAAATGTGCTGTTAGCTACTGATTTATTATGCGTACACTGAGAAACAATCGTCTTTGTCGTTATATCGTAGGTGTTTTTTACAAGCAAACGGATCACCTGATGGTAATCAATTGACGTCGCCCCTGGAACACCAAAGCCGTTACAAGTGCGTTGCCGGGCTTTTGGGTATTAGGAATTTGAGGATTGTTGGGGATTCAGGGATCAGATTGGGGAAGGCGGGACGAAACAAAACGCAAGCGTTTTTCACATCGGATTTCTGTAAGGCCGTGGTATCACTCCGGTTGCGCCGGCCACACTAGGGGTATTTAAAAGGAGTTAATACGTTTTCTAGTTCTCTTACCTAGTCTAATTCTCGAGGACAGGCATAGGAGGGCGTTAAATGAAACCGCCACAAAAAGATCAAGGCTTTAACAATACACCTTAAAATATCGTAATCAATAAAAACAATAGCCATGCTTGAAACCGAACCGAGAGACGCTTTTTTTGAGGTAGAAAATCATCCAATGCCTTCTCCCGCCCGGGTGAGGCGAGAGGAAGTGTCAGACTCTTACTGACTGAAAACTACCCCGTTCCCACTCCTGCACTTCGAACCGGAGCCCCGGCAACCCGGTAAGTCTTCCGCGGCTCCGTATCGGCATCAACTCTGTTGGGCCCCATCTGTGGTGTCTGATGGCAACCAAGAGACGCTTAGACTTAGCAGTCTCATTGATGACTTGGGAAACTTAGAACACTTTCTCTTTCTGAAAGGGGTAGAGGCAGAGGCAGACATATCTTATGTCAGTGCCCTAAAAGTAATAAAGGCGATAAACAGTCCGCAAAACACTTAAAACATAGACTGATCTATGTAGGTCCGTAGGTATTAAATACCGCTACATTAGGCATCATTACAGAAATCTTTTTACAAAGGTTAAAGGTAAAGGCTGCGGTACACGGGTATACGCGTTCCATTTCCCTGAATAGATCGTTCTTTGTTGATAGTTTGATTAATGGTTAAACCACCGCTAGGGGGCGTGGCGCACGTTTATAAGGCGACCTTGTCTATTTATATCCTGCCTTTAAAGTTGGCGAAGTTCTGAGATGACTTGCACTAAGTAACATCTATTTCATGTGTAGTTACGTAATGATAAGTTAGGTAACTGTTTTTTTAGCTATTTTTAGATGAACCAGGGAATTAATAACTTTTTTAATGATTTATGCTCATTAGACCGATAGATGTCACCAATTTGGCATGGAACGCCGAGTAATTCTGAGCCGGTCACATTTTAAAGAAGAAGTCCATTACAAGTTTTGCTTTTCAACACGTATCTTTATTTAAAAGTCCGCCTCTGAATTATTCGACGTTCTACACCAAATCCGAAATTAAGATAATTTTCCAACCCCAAACATAAAATCACACCTTGTGATTAGTTGCAGTGGACAAAGGCGAAAATTATAATGTATGAACCACTAGGAATCACGTGTTACGGGGATCTGGGTTCATGTTGATGAGGGCTGTTGAGCCCTGCTCTGGACAGGGCTTACTCGTCAAGTACCGTCATTATAGACACAATTGTAGAACAATAGGTTGCGGTCACCGGTGACCGCTTGATGTTTGACAGTTTAAATGAAATGACGATAAAGTCCAAGGACATTAAATTATACATAGGTAGGTAAGCTGCAGTGATTTACTTATAAGGCAGGTTAAATAACATCAAGTACTTAAAATATCTTTAAGTATACATACATAAGACTTGTGAGTGACCTTGGCCTAGCCTACATGAGCACTCGAGGTCGATGCGGATTATATAGGTTGCAATGCGGGAATTTTGGTTTCGTAAATAAATACCTAGACAAATATACTTAAGTGGGTTCTTTAAAGAGTAAGTCATTGAACTCTTTTTAAACAAAATCCTGTGGCGAACTCTCTATCAACCGGGCGTTTATCGCTGTGGTCACCGGTGCATGCAAATATCGTCTAATGATAGTTGACCGCTAACTTTGTCAATTGTAGTAGTTGTACTTTGTCAATTGTAGTATACACTTTTGTCTAGTTTTTATTCCCACATTATTATTACAATAATTACCTAATTGATGTTAATTTGGAATACCTATCTAGTTATTACCAGTGGTCTCATGACGACCATGGCACACTTGTAAGAGCAAATGTCAAAGTTTTCGCAATGCACTCCCGCGCAGTTTCTAACTGCAATACTCAGTTACACAATGCACTCACTGGCTATACATCTATTATTTATTGTATTCATACATAGATTACGAATAACATTATTGAACTTTACTATGACTTTTCTGTATTTTTGCTGTCGTTGTCTTGTAAAGCACAGAACTCGAGAAAGGCTGGATCGATTATATCGCACCTTTAGTAATAAACCGTAATAAGTTAAAAAACCGGGATTTTGACTTCTCGTCATAAAACGCATTAAAATCGTGTAACGAATAGGTACAACAGTCTAATTTCGATTTGCATGCGCAGAGTGAGATAGAGGTATCGTCCATTTCGGTGAGATGAGGTATCGTGCTCTAAAAAAATTTTGATTGTATTGAAAACATTCATATACCTATTGATAGCTAATTTCATTACTTACATTAACCACTAACTAGAATAATTGTAATCGTAATCGTCCTTTTGTAGTTCGTAAAAATATAAACCCAGTCATAGGTTCTCGTAAAACTTTGACCTCATTTTCAGAACAATTTAAAATTTCACATTATTTTGGTTTATCATTAAAGGTGCGATATAATTCTTTTTTTTTTTATTTTTGTTGCTAGGTAAAGATTTTTATGAAAGGTTTTGATAACGCATGTCATTGACGTCAAATAAATCAAGAAGAAATAATCAAGAAGAATGTTATACATACCCAATTTAAACAGTTTGACCAACCGCAACACTTCGAACCTCACCTTCAAATACTATATTATCAAAATCCAACGTAACATTACTAAACAAATAAGAAACTCAAATTTAAAACCGACAATCGACTTTGAACTATAAATCAAAGCCATAAGTGGAGTTTAAAGGCTATAATCGATAAAGTTTTTTATGCTGACGTGGTGCAAATAGCCTGAGTCATGCGAGGTACGGGTGAGCATGTCACATACGTGTACAACGGTATGAGACCGTAAGCAATGTAAATATTTAAATAAATGCCGTCTGAAGGCTAGAACTTGTACCAAAATATACGGGTTCTGTTAAGTACTTACCTCTACTATAAAAGTTTCAGTGTAAAATGTTAAAAAGATACGATTCGGAAATAATGTCATGTGGTGAGTGTGATGGCAAAGTAGAACCTACTTTTGTCACTATGATTACTCCTCACACGGGTATCACAAGAATGACTAAGGGGCTATTTTTTGGTTGGATCGAACACACATACACAAAGAAAGTGTTGACAAACATCTGACGTCGAGGATTTTAGACCAGCTCTCTGAACACTGGTTTCCTATACCTACTATTTATTCGGAGTCGCGGAGAACCTAACGGGTAACCGGGGCTGCGGCTCGACGTGCAGGAGAAGGAACGGGGTGGTTTTTAGTCAGTAAGAGTCTGACACTCCCTCCCGCCTCACCCAGGCGGGAGCAGTCATTCGATGATTTTCCCCCCTTAAAAAAAAAATACCTACTATTTATATATTTTGGTTATTTTCACTTTCAGCCATGATCGTCCCACTGCAGGGCAAAGGCCTCCTATCACTACATAGTATAAAACAAAGTCGCTATCCGCTGTCCGTCTGTCTCGCTGTCCGTATGGCAAACTCTTTTTCATGTCATTCAGAGCTGTCAATGTTCCAACATTGGAAAGTTAAGATCAAGATAACGAACCGTACAAAATCGGCTTTTTTCTACGATAAAATATGTACTTTTTAAAGAAAATACAGAGAAAGACAAAACTTCAGTCCTAATAATTCTTTTATAGAGGTAAGTACACCTTTAAAGAAACCGATTACAATACCCTTAAGTTTAAGTCAATAAATATACAAAAACCTTCTTCTAAAATAAATGTAACAAACGCTTTGTTGAAACCCGCATCAAAATTGATTTAACCAATAGCGAGATATTCACGCACAAACATACCTTCTTTTCTATTTGAAGTCGCTTAAAAATGGATTCAGATCATCTAAGTATTTACATAATTTATGTATTCGAACTGTAATTAGTTAACTGACTCGAACTAATTACAACTAGTTAACACATTAGGAAGCGTTTTTGAAATAGAATAGATGCATAGGTATTCTATTTTATTGTTAACAATGTTTTAAAATAGAAATAAT